TGCCCGACACCTGAACCCACATACAACCCCCCCCCCCACCTGAACCAACATACCCCCCCCCCCACCTGAACCAACATATTCCCCCCCCCCCCCCCCACCTGAACCCACATACTCCCCACCTCAACACACATACCATCCCACTTAAACCCATCCCCACCTGAACCCAACCCTTCCCCCACCTGAACACGTTGCAAACGCTAAGGGGGAAGTGGGCAAACGCTAGGGGGGTAATGTTGAGAAATATTTAAAAAAGTAACAAAAATATCAAAGTTAATTAGAAAAAAGTTCAATCGAACAACAAGTAACCAACGTAACCAACTTTATTTAAACGTAGAAAAAACTTTATGTGCGTTGAAATTCGCATCTCAGTAAAGTGGAAAAAATCAATCATAATTTAGTTTCCTTTTCAATGTCCACAAAAGTGAAAATAAATCGATTATAATGGATGAAAAAATGATTTTGTTGCCTCGAAAAACAGTAATATTATAATCCATTTTAAATAATTATAATCGATTTGTTTTCACTTTTGTGGACACTGACAAGGAAACTCAGTTATAATCGATTTTTCTTCATGGAACTCCAATGCGGGTATTATTGATATTAATGTTTACGTGGTTGATCATACTTGGCTCATAAACTGTATCGCTTATTTGTAGCAACTTTAGCCTAATGTTTCAGCTGTTGTTTCCTTTTATACTCTGACTTGGTTACAAATTTCAACCACCAGCTTGACTCGGAATTTTTTTAGTGCAAACTATTTCAGTAACTCTGGTGTACTTGTGTCACAAACCCACCGAAATAGTTTGAGCAGAAGCTGTTTAAGGAAACATTCCCGCACTGAAGTTTCTCGGATAAAAATAGATCAAATCGAGAAAATGTTGCGGAAATTGTTGCCAATATAATCGATTATGTGTAACCAATTTAAACAACGTTTTCTATTCGAACAGAAAGAAAAGAGATTATTTTCACGAAGATGATATTGACTCATAATTCCACTAAAATGTTTTTTTATCTCCACATAATCTCAACAAAATTTATTTTTTTCGCCCTGAAATCGCCATAAAATTGCAATAAAACCTATTGTATTCGCCATAAAACTGCCAAAAAATCGCAACAAAACCTCTTGCTATCGCCATAAAATTGCAGTAAAATCTAGGACCTAAAATATCAATTATGTTATCAGAAAAATGGATTTTATTGTCTGAAAAACTGACTTTTTCTCTTCTTAAAAGCATATGCTAAAAGCATATGAAATATAAAAAATCCATTATAGTTCATTATAATTGATAACAATTCATTTCATTGTTAGAACTAAATTCGATTATTTTTGCAAAATATTGCAAATTTTGCGGGAATGCTTCAAAATCATCCCTTCGGCCCCTCATCCGATTTATATCTTTCAAGGAACAAACCACAGTGACAAAAATTTAAAATTAACTAATTGCCTGCATTTAAGAAAAGTGAAAACAAATCGATTATAATGGATTTTCGTGGTCTATATTGTTGTAAAAATAATCGATTCCCATGTTACGTTCAGACAACAAAATTGGACAAAAATGGATATAAATCCATTTTTTCTCGCCAAAACAAAATGCATTATAATTCATTTGAATCCATTATAATGGATTTTATAATAAGTAGGAAATCAGTTTAAAATGGTTTTTTTTTCTCCACTTTTTTTTCTATCGCGAAACGTGCAAAATTTAGCAAGAATTTCAGCATTTATCAAGTGAGTGATGTGGAAACTTTGCAAAGCGAGTGTACGTCCTGGCCTAATCCATTTCAAAACCTAAATTTAAATTGCAAAAAGATTCCGTTGAATTCTCCCCCATCCTTGATTAACCCCACCCGAACCCCACCTGAATCCACATACCCCCCCCCCCCCCACCTGAACTCACCCCCAACTGAACACTCCCGCCTCAACAACCCCTCCCCCCACCTGAACCCACATACCCCCCTCCCCCAACCTGAACCCAAATACCCCCCTCCCACCTAAACCCATCCCCACCTAAACCCATCCCCACCTGAACCCACCCCTCCCCCCCCCCACCTGAAACTGTTGCAAGCGCTAGGGGAAAAGGCAAACGCTAGGGGGGGGGGGGGTAATGTTGAGAAAAATTTTTAAAAAGCAACAAAAATATCAAAGTTAATTAGAAAAACGTTCAATCGGACAACAAGTAACCAACGTAACCAACTTTAATTTAAAACGTAGAAAAAACTTTATGTGCGTTGAAATTCACATCTCAGTATAGTGGAAAAAAATTGATTACAATTTAGTTTCCTTGTCAGTGTCCACAAAACTGAAAACAAATCGATTATAATGGATGAAAAAAGGATTTTGTTGCCTCGAAAAAGAGTAATTTTATAATACGTTTTTAATTGATTATAATCAATTTGTTTTCACTTTTGTGGACACTGACAAGAAAACTTATTTATAATCGATTTTTATTCAAGGAACTCCAATGCGGGTATTATTGATCTTAATGTTTACGTGGTTGATCATAGTTGGCTCATACACTTTATCGCTTTTTTGTAGCAACTTTAGCCTAATGTATCAATTGTATTTTCTTAGTATACTCTGACTTGGTTACAATTTTCAGACCACCAGCTTGACTCGGAATTTTTTTTTAGCGCAAACTAATTGAGCAATTCTGGTGTAATTGTGTCAGAAACCCACGAAAATAATTTGAGCATAAGTTTTTTAAGGGAACATTGACTGAAATTTCTCGGATAAAAATTAATTATATTGAGAAAATGTTGCGGAAAATGTTGCCATTATAATCGGTTATGTGTAGCCAATTTAAGCAACTTTTTCTAATATAATAGAAGGAAAATAGATTAGTTTCATGATGATTATATTGCCATATAACTCCACTAAAATGTTTTTTTTTTATCTCCACATAATCTCAACAAAATCTTTTTTTTTCGCCCTGAAATTGCCAAAAAATTGCAAAAAAATTTATTGTATTCGCCATAAAACTGCTAAAAAGTTGCAAAAAAAACTATTGCTAGCGTTATAAAATTGCAGTAAAATCTAGGACCTAAAATATCAATTATGTTGTCGATAAAATGGATTTTATTGTCTGAAAAACTGCTTTTTTCTCTTCTTAAAATCATATGCTAAAAGCATATGAAATAAAAATCTATTATAATTCATTATAAAGGATTATAATTCATTTCATTTTTAGAACTAATTTCGATTAATTTTGCAAAATATTGCAAATTTTGCGGGAATGCCTCAACGGCATCCCTTCGGCCCCTCAAGCTTTTTACCACTCCCCCCCCCCAACTAAACTGGTGGGGTAATGAACTTGGGGCTTAACTGAGGTTGGGGGGGGGTGTTTAAACTGGGAGGGGTTGTTTAAATTGGAAGGGGGGAGTTTGTGGTAAAAAACAGTAAAATGAAGTGTTAAACTGCGATGAATTTAAAAACAGAGACCAAAAAGTAAAAAAATTTTGTTCTGAAAAGTAATATTTTATGAAACGTAATACGTAGCAACTGAACTAAACAGGAAATAAGATAATTTTAAATAAATTGTAAATTTAACGAATAACCCCTCGAAAAAATCCATTATAATTGATTAAAATTGATTATAATGGAATATATTGACGAAAAAATAATAGGATTATAATCTATTTTTAATGGATTATAATACAATATTTTGTCATTTTATTGCGGACCATAATATGACAATATAATCGATTATGATTCCTGGGCGCTCGGTGCGGGAATCTATTATAATCTATTATAATTCCAATATAATCGACATAAAATTAAAGTTTTTTAACGGATTTTTTTTCTCCATATAATCGATTATTCTACTCTGCCACAAAATCACCAGATAATTGATTATTAACATAACAATTTTTGTTCGACCACAAAATCGCCAGATAATAGATAATAATAGGAGAAAGTTCGGTGCGGGTTCGCCCTTATTTATCTTTTGATTTGCAATAAATTGTTTTCATGGTGTAGAATTCAAATTTTTTTTATTCCACTGACCGAGAATTGAATTTTAAATAATAATACTTTGAATGTTGACTGATTTATCTCGCAAAAATTGAGTATACTTTCCTAATGTTTCCAAATCAATTGACAAAATCCCAAATTTTCTCTTTTTGGTTAATTGTTCTGGAAGTTACTAATTACACAAAGTATTCACCAGCAAAAATCAATTTCTTTGATTCAGATTTATCATTAGTTTAACTATTGAAATGTAAGAAAACTCAAGTGAAAACTCATTTCAAAACATACGACATAACCGGTATCTTTTGGTACCAAAGTTTATTCCTTTCATTTGACTAAGGATAAAACCAAACACCAAGGAAAAGAAAACTTTCTGCAAAAAAAGATTGAACGAATTGTGGCTAGAAAATATTCAAGTATAGAAAAAATGATTTTGATCATTAAAAATGCATTTTAACATTACGAGGCCAAACTGTGCACTGGATTGGCGCAAAATTTTGTGTCTGTATGTTCCTGGATTCCAGAGACAGGTCTTTAAACATGTTAAAATTTTGTCGGAACGATCAAAGAAAATGAAAGAACAAAAAAGAATAAAGGGAGCGTCCTTGTTGCGGAATCCGCTTACAATTCACAAAATGCAGAGTTTGGCCTCGTAATGAATGGATTTTGCTGTTTCAAAGCAAAACATTGACTATTGCAGGTAATGTAAAATGGCAAAAAATTTTATCACAAAACTAAAAAATTCTCAAATCGGTTTTTAACATGAAAACGCGGTGCGGGCTATAAGAAATATTTTCTATGATATTGACCTAATATGACAAATTTTTTGTTTCAGCTCAAACCCTCGAAATATAATTGTGCCTTATACAGAAAATGACGAATGGGAACTATCGCATTCACAAAACTCGATTGAAATTCTTACTCGAACCACAGTTGGATTTGAATCCGATAATTGGTATTCGTATATCAGAATGCCGTTGAATATCAAACGTCGCCATCATTTTTACCTTTTAATTTTCGTATTGCCGAATGCGCTTCTCTGCTTGTTATCAGGACTGGTTTTCTTTGTCCCTCCAGAGTCGGGCGAGAAAATTTCCTTCGCAATTACAATACTTCTAGCTCAATTTGTGTCTCTTGCAATGATATCGGATATTCTGCCTTCAAGTTCTCGCAGCTTCCCAAAAATTGGATACGTATGCGGCGGAGCGATTGCGCAATCAACAGTTAACTTGCTCTTATCCGTGATAGGTTAGAAGCTATTTTTTTTCTCTCATCAAAGATTTTTTTGTCTTTGTATTTTTTCTTGAGAACAATTAAAATGCAAAAAGAAGGCGTAACATTATGACCAATCGTTTTGTTTTAATGAAAGATTAATTTTTGAAAAACTTCAGAAATTATCTCGCTTACTTGATTCACGGAAAAGTATCAAGTTTTGTTTTGTTTTTTTTTATAAGGAAAGTGAAAAGGCTGGAAAAATTCTTCAGCTTAAACAAAGACAAGACAGGTAATTGTCAAAAATATTGTAAAAACGACGATAGTTTACGTTGAGTTTCTGACTTTGCTTTTAGTCCTGCGCGTAGAATGTTTCGAGAGTCGATTGTTAACGTTTAGTCTTGACATTTTTGCTCGCTAAGCATGAGATAATTTTCACCATACAAACAGCTGGCTTCTTTTGAAAAATGGTAGGCTTAACTTATGTGTTGAATCTTTTTCAGTCATGAATTGTTATTTTTCTCGTGGTTTTACACGACCAGGAAGAAAGGTTCGAATAATCATCTCGAGCAGGCTTATGTCAGTCTTAGGGCTGACTCCCTGTCCCAAGGAGATCTGCTTTCCCAAAAAAGACAATTCCAGTTACACAGAGGATGATCAGGGATACCCAAGTTAAGGCTACTTCTCTATTTGTTTATCTTAGCTTCTTTAACGAAAAATAACTACTTTCTTTACAAAAAAAAACTGATTAAAACTTCTCCATGTAAAAAAGGTTTTCGGTTTTTTATTGAAACTTAAACTTTTAGGAGGTTCGAATATTCAGAACTATATTATGTCACGGATTAAAAAATCTAAGCCCTCTCAAACCATGGAAAATGAACAATGTTTTTGGCAATGGTCAATGAAGTGACAAAAAAGCTATACCACACGCTTTTCATGTACCATCATATCTAAGTTTTTGCGAATCCCTGGTCAGACAAAAAAAATATAGATGACTTCTTCAACCATTATCGATTGTAAAATAACAACAGTCACAAGAAACACAACAACGCCTTCTCAGCGACCAGTATCAAACAAAAGTAGCTCTAGAGCATTCACTGAAACTGGGCAGCAAAGTATTATCGAAGATGGGGAGAACATTGGAGATGCAGATAAGACAACCTCGCAGAATGCGCAGCAAACGGTTGTCCCTGAAGAACAAAAAGATTGTGAATTTATGTGGTTGTTCTTTGTAAGATTTCTGGATCGACTGTTTTTGTGTGTTTTCATTCTTCTCGAGGTTTCAGCGCTAGTAGCTCTATCACTAAATGTATTATTTGGTTAATATAAAACCGTAGCGATATGATCACCTGGATTAATCATGATTTCAAGATATCCTTTACAATTTTATTTAATAGTTTGATTGTTTTTGTAAAATTATTTTACTGAAATACGCATGAAAATTTTTTTTACAGATTTATATGGCATGAACGTGTTTAATTTAGTGAGATAAATTCGTATAAAGTTACAATTTTTATTTGATTTCTATCCTTCCTCTCTGTTGCAATGCAAATGTAGAGTATAGAATGTAGAGTATAGATGCATATAAAACTGAACTAAAATGTAACAACAATAAGCACAGTTGGCCGAGCGGCCTAGAGACAAGTCTCTCACGCCGGTCAACCGGGTTCGAGTCCCCCCATATGCAGACCTTAAAACATGTAGACCCGAGGGGCTATAGCCCCATTTGACCGTTTTTTACTGTTTTTTGGTTCTAATTCGGTTCAGCCTTGATTAAGGTTGACCGCCAAAAAGAGCAATTTGTCTCAAGGACATTACCGACCGGTTCTTGTGGCTAGCTTGCGCCGTTTTGTACCAAAAACGGACAGTTCAGAATTGAAGTTATATGATGTTATGCTTGACCAAAATTATGATAAAATATTGATTTTTCTGAGAGTCTTTGCCGATAAATACTCTTTATAATTCAAAGCATTCGACTTTATAGTTTTACCAAATAACGGAGATTGAGCGCACATTTTGGCGCCCCACAAGGGACACGAGATCGATGATAGTTCCCTTTCAATTTGTTTCTCGGACAGTTTTCCCGACACGAGTGTAGTTGGCAGAATCCCCAGAGTTGTACGAAAGCAGGTGGCTCAAACAGAGTGCTGTCGGTCGGAATTCATCTGTTGCGGCTTGAAGAGGGTCTGTAGCGGATTGCACAGCATCTGTTGCGGATTGCAGAGTGTCTGTAGCGGATTGCAGAGTGTCGGTTGCAGATTGCAGAGGGTCTGTGGCGGATTGCACAGCATCTGTTGCGGATTGCAGAGTGTCTGTAGCGGATTGCAGAGTGTCGGTTGCAGATTGCAGAGTGTCTGTGGCGGATTGCAGAGCATCTGTTGCGGATTGCAGAGTGTCTGTGGCAGATTGCAGAGTGTCGGTTGCAGATTGCAGAGTGTCTGTTGCGGATTGCAGAGGGTCTCTTGCGGATTGCAGAGAGCGTCTGTGTCGTGTAAGACCGGTGACCGCCCAATCTTCAAAACTGTAAGACTCGACAAACTTTTAAAACTCTCATATTGTGCTATAAAATTTTATACGCTGTCATACATCTTGAGAAATTTTTCCGCAAGCTAGCCCCCGGTAATTTTTCTCAATACCCAAAATTTTTGGACAGTTCCGTTGAACTGAAATATCTTACAGTCGGTACATAGACAAACTGACTTGACATTTTTTCTCGATACCAAAAATTTTTGGATATATGTGAACGGAATAATAATCAGTGAAATCGGAACATAGACAAGAGGTACTGGACTAGTTTTTTGGATTGGTTTATGACTCGAACCTGCTGACCAAAATTTACTGAAAAATTTTGTGAAAAAAGTAAAAAATTAACAAAAAATCCTCAAAACGTCTCCAGAATTCTGCGAAATTGTGCTGTAAGATGAAACCAACCTTATGTTAAGTGGTCTGGTAGCGAAATATCAGGCAAATTAAGTTGAGTTTTTTCATCCTCAGGTTTCTTCCGCGTGTGTTGTTGGAACTTAACCAATTTGCCTGATCCCCCACCCACCATTGGTGAAACTGAAAGCCAGTTCGCTTCGAGTAAAACAAAGCCGTTTCAGCCCGTCATATTATTGACTTCGTTGCGTGACAGTAAAGTTAAGTGGTCAGGTACGGTGATATTAAGTGAGTTAAGTTGAATTCTTTCATCCTCAGGTTTATTCCGTGTGTGTTGTTGGAGTTCAACCGACCTACTTAATTTCCCAACCCCATTGGTACTTAAGCGTAACGAAGCCGTCGCATAGGTCCCCTAAGTGTATGGTATTCATTCTAGGAGCTAGTTCTTTGGATCACGCGCTCCGAAAACTTCCCGCTCCGTCCCAGAAGCGCGTCAAAGATACTTGCTTTACGAAGCCAGGTTTAAGTTTGAACTTTAACGCTAGGGACTCTCAGAAAACGATACAGTACTACCTTCATCACTATTTGTCGCACCGTAACGACCTTGTAATTTGGCACGACGCCATTAATAACTCGATAAGTAGGCACCGCAGCAACAATAACCGCAAGCTGAGTAGTGAGCAACTTGTCAATTTGTTATTAAGGTATAGGACAAACATTTGTGCGATCGTATACTGTAGACGGAACGGAACCGAGGATATAGAGGAAAGTTTAGGTTCAACAGGTATTCTCGTTCTCAACGTCGTTAAAGACTTTATCTCTAAGCGTAAGGCTAAGGACCAGGTACTAATTGAGAAGTACAAAGAGCTTCACCAGCCTCCTTCCCTTGAGTTAAAGACTCTCCTCCTTCTAAGGCGTTATAGCGCTAATCTTAACATCCTTAAGACACGTAAGAAGCGAAACCGCTTACCCCTCAAAGCTCGGAAAGCTATAAGAAATAGGCTTCAGGTAGAAGCTTTGAGACGTCAAGTTCCCCCGTCTTGTAAGCTAATGTTGATTTACTAATGCAAATTTAATTACGTACCAAAACAGTATCTCATTTTATTGATTGTTTTCTATAAGTGAGCATCCGTAGAATATTGTCAATTTGTGAAAAACATGGACGAAAAATTCCAAAGCAAGATACGCAAGTTATTCGAAACCCGTCTAAATCTAGAAAATGAGCTGCTCAAAGGTCACTCATTATTACTTGAGTACATTGAGAATAATAGTCGCACTACAAAAATTGATAATGCTGTTTACAAATGTAAAATTGCGTTGGAAAAAGCTGTCGACGTCAATGAGCAATTAATTAGGTTAGCGGGAAAAACGGAAAATCCTGAAAAAATTATTGCTCAGCAAGACCTTTGGCTTAAGAAAGTAACCGAAATGAACGATAAAGTAATGCACGAAGCTCAGAGTTACAAGATGAGCCTTGAACCTTCGTCATTTCCAGCAGCCGGCATTACAGGGAGCAAGGGATCTTTACAACAAACCAGGTCTGAGACATCCTCACGCTCGCACAAAACAAGTGATTCAGCAGCACGAGTATCTGAAAACAGGTCTAAGGTCTCTAATAAGTCTAAGGATAGTAGAAAGCTTGACTCACATAAGTCTGATAAATCTGCTTCCACTCGTCATACGTCGACTGTTCGCACTATGTCATCAAGTGAGAAACGGCATGAGTTAGCTTTAGTAAAACGACGCCATGAGGAGCTGGAAAGGCAGTATCAAGTATCTTTAAGACTTAAAGAGCAAGAGAACCGTCTTAAGTTCGAACAAAGTCAGCTGGAACTAGAGCAATTGGCTGAAATTCATAAAAAGCAACTAATTGAAATGGAATTGAAAGCGTTTGAACTTGAGGACAGTTCATCTGAGGTTAGCGAGAAGGTAGCGGAAAGTAATGTAACAGGAGTAAGTCAACCTATTTCAAAGGTAGCAACCGATCGAACTAATGATTGGGTAGACTCTGTTAGTTCACAAGCACCTCCCGACGTTGCTAGTGCTCCAGGTTTGCAGGCCTTCACTCATGTACCCATTTCGTCAGGACCCACGACTTCCGCCCTCCTTGCTCATGCAATTCACACCAGTAATAGTCATAACCATGAGCACACAGCATTGAGTGACCCTGGAATCCATAGTTATGGACATCGGGCTATGCCTCAATTTGGCAGTGCAAGCCGTTTGCCATTGCAAGCTTCTGTTTCATTCCCAGCCTCTGTTCCATTCCCAGTTAACAATATGCATTCTAGTGCACACGTGTCACCACCGTCTGCTATTCCTTTACAGACCATGAGTTCAAACATAACTAATGGTAGTTTTGCCATTGCGCAACCGGAATCATTACCTGTCCCAATGTTACCGGCCCAACCCGTTTCTGGTTTTGTTTCTTTGTCGCCTGCATTTGCTGGTGGTGGCTTCTCATCTTCTGGAGTAAACCCAACGCCGGTTTTCTTTTCGGCACCTAACTGCCATGCAGAGCCAGTCCAGACGCAACATAATCTTCCCTTTGTTCCGCATACTGTGTCACCTAGTATCAACGATTACTACACAAGTGATGCAAACTTATGGCGATTGGCAGCTACAACTCCAATCGTCACGCCTGCTCAGTGTTGTAATGCTGGAAACATTTTTTCTAATGTGACAACTATTGTCCCATCGTGTAACACCGCCGTTCCTTATACTAGTGGTGGGACTGTGTATTTTAATACTCCCCCAGTTCATCCCCAACATGTTCCGTATTTCGTCAATCAAACTAATACTGGTTATCAGCCAGTCAACGAAGACTACGCACCGTCTCCCGCTTATTCGAACCAAGGTTGTTCATCGGATCGACCTCTCTCCGCTCGTGAATTGGCGGAATTATTGATGCATAGCCGCAAAGATCATCTTCCTGAATGGAAGTTAGCCCAGTTTGACGGTAACCCGTTAAACTGGCACGAATGGTTTGGTCAGTTTAAGTCCACCGTTGATTCCGCTGTTCTCACCGATGATACGAAATTGACATACTTAAAAACGCTCGTCACAGGCAAAGCAAAAACCGCAATTGCGGAGTTTAGTTATAGTGGCGTTATGTACAAGGATGCACTGGCCACCTTGCAACGGAAGTTTGGGCAACCACATGCCATTGTTGGTGCGCATCTTGATAAGCTGAATACTTTTCCTCCACTTAAGATGCACAATTCGGAAAATGTCATTAGTTTCTCCTCTGCCATATCTGGCCTCGTAGCAGTTTTCAAATCATTGTCTTTCAACGATGATCTAAAGAGTGTTAACCTGTTAAACCAAGCTGTTAATAAGCTTCCGCCTAACCTCAAGGAGGCTTGGTCAATGCATACTGTTAGACATAATTGGCAGCGACCAACACTCTTAGACTTTAACAACTGGTTGAAAGAAAAGGCCGAAGGGCATGAAAGATTACGTTTACTCAGCTCTAAGGCAAAAAACGAAGAACCGGTTAAACCAAAAACAACCAAAGTTTTTGCAGCCAATAGCCAGGTAACTAGTAAGGCTCAGGATAAGTCTCAGGATAAGTCTAAGTTTCCGCCGTGCGTTTTGTGTAAGGGTAGTCATGCATTGTGGAATTGTGCTGTTTTTAAGGAAAAGAATGCTACTCAGCG